ATGAGCAATTACAAACATTAATGCATTTGTTTCCGTTTGATGTGAAAACACATTTATTTTGCAAGTGGGGGCATAATCACAGGTGAAGGCCTCAGTTATTCTGATAGCCCCAGTGATGGATGTCACATCTGAGAAACAAAATATTTTCGTATCTAACATTCTGAGATATTTTTATTTTAATCTTATAATCTCAGAAATGGCAGGCCTGTGCCTTTTTTGCAGCCTTTAATTTAAGAACAACAGCAGCGAAATGCTTCTCTAAGACTTAGGACCATGCAGGCTTTTAGGCCTAGTAGTTATTTTCCTGTAGGTATACACATTGAAAATAAAAGGTAATTAGAACCACTAGGCAGTCTTAATGTAGATATGGCTACTGCTTTGCTTCACAAGTTAATCACTTTCTCTGTAATCTAAAAGCCATGAAAAAGCCTTCTTATTAAGTGCTTCAGAAGAAGTTGTGTGTCTTTAGCTGAGTCATCATTCAGCTTTTGTGTTTGCAGGTCAGTCTTTATTAAGCTTACTTGGTTCCATGCTCTCTGCGTTATAAGCTTTACTAATGTTCTGGGATGAATGAGCCTTTGCTACTAAAGGCCGAGAGCTTTGAAAAGGCAAGACTTCACTGATTTGCCCTCTGTTCACTGATGGTTTCTGTTCAGCTTTCAGATTTCTGCTCATTTAAAATTAAAAGCTCTTTACTGATCTGTAGCTGAAAGTACACATGTGACTTTGTTATCAATGTTTCCTTCTGAAGTAAAGAAAATTGTTTATGAGCCTGTGGCTGAGTCTTTATATTAGTGTATTAAAAATGTTTAGGAAAATCTCAGGTTAAGAAACGTTACCTGACTACATAAACTAGTGGTTGAATTCTGAGTGAGGCTTGTGAAATAGACTTAACAAAAGGTGTAGATAATTTGCTTTCTTCAGAGTTTTTTCATTTTCCTAGGCTTCTCAGAATGCAGGGGGATTTTTCTACTTTTCCTAAAATCTTTGATCCATAGAACTATATAGCTTTTTTTCTGTAAACCATGCTTGGGCTTAAATTCTTGGTTTTAGATGCGCTGAAAATATGTCACAGTTTTTGCTTCTTTTGCTTGTGCTAAGACCTAATATTTGAATGCTATTGGTTTTGCTGAAGCACAGGATAACTTATGAAAGCAGGTTTTAGTATGTCCTGTAGGTAACTATTTCACTTGTTTACAACATGACTCGTGGTGCATGGTAATTGGCTACTTTGTCTTGTGTATTTTGTATTAATATTAATAAATTTGCAGACAAATTATTGATTCTTGTTCTCACAGGCAGTTGAACTACAAAACAGGTTATCTGAAGAATCCAAGAAAGCTGATAAATTAGATTATGAATGCAAACGACTGAAAGAAAAAGTAGACAGCCTCCAAAAAGAAAAAGATGTAAGTGCCAAGGTGTTATTTTTATGGTAGTAGTGGTAGCAGCTTTGTGTCCTTTATAACACAGAGATATGGTAATTATAGTTAGCCGTTTACAGCAAGCTTTTTAAATTAGGAAGTCTTTTTTCACTTAAAATTTTCAGATGTTTGTTTGCAAGATCCTTTTTAAATGTCCGAATTGTACAGCATGGAATGAAGTGACTGTACAAAAACATATGCAACCCACTTCTAAGAGGAAAAGCCTTCATATTTGGGATCTGAAGTTGTTTCTTGACTGTTCACCATGAGAAGATTAATAAACACTCAGGGTAACTGTAATGTATTTTGACAAACTATTTAAAGTAGGGCTTCCGCAGTATTATCCTAGAACTAAACTCCTGCTACACTTATTCTAAAGCATTATTTGAGGTACCATCAGCATGCTTCTCTTTGTGGACTCATGACTACTGCAGCAAGAGGCTTAGCAGTCGTATAGAGACACATGTTCTTTGTGGCGATCTCGCCTTTTATGACAGTTCCTTGTTGATCTGTCTTGTATTGCCAACATGGGATACACAGGATGGATATCCGTCTATTCACTTCCTCTCCATCATTTGCTGCTAGTGATTCTGCAATTAATTGCTCTGTCGTCTCTTGCCAAGGCTGATCCTTCAGACTTCTTGTGCGCACTATTGTTTCTCACCAGTTTATTTTGGCTTGTTTCTTAGGAGTATATGCAGGTGCCTCAAACTACCTGAAACCAAGGCCAGCAGTTTGAGTTAGCAATTTCATAAGCTTGTTTTAAGTCCATTTATCCATCAGTTAGAATCTCTGTAGGCTTTTCCTTCAGTAGTTGTATTTCCTGTCCCATTCTTTCCAAAATTTCCAGCCCCTGCCCTTGAATAGCATTTAAACTGAAAATTTGCAGTTCTTTTCTGTTATTAGGTCTTTTATTTCCATATTTTATTAAATTTTCAAACTGTTGTGGACACTTGTCCTTGATATCACTTCCATCTGCCCTTCAGTTCAGATTGGAATGCCCACAATAACTGTATTTGTACTGTGCTTTGGCTTTCGCTCTTTATTTAAAATTTGTTTTTCCGGTTTTATGTTTGGTAATGGTAGGGTTGTGTCTGTGGCTTACACATTGCTTGGTGGACCATTTCATCTTGCACAAAGGATCTGAATTGCAGGACATTGTCATGTAGTTTTCTGTTTTACTCCCTGACAAATAGCATTTTTTGGGGGTCGATGTTGGTTTTCAGTACATTCTTTTGAATGGGTATGCGCCTGTGAGAAGTACATTACAGCTGAAGTCTCTCTACGTTTGAATTAGTGATTCACTACCTGTGTTACCTACTTTTTCTGTTCGCTGTTGTCACACATGTATCAGTAAGGTTGCCCACCTCAGGTCACAACCTACATAGTGATATCTTGTCAGATATATTTTGGAAACAGTTACTGAAATTGGTTTTATCCTTGTCTTTTATGTTCTGGCAAAGTGTGGTAGCATGTTTGGTGTCTTCAGCTATGTAGCTTGGAATTTTACCCCTGTGGTGTGTTGTACAGTAAGTACTAAGATAATTTCATGACTTTGTCTGCAGTGTACAAATGAAGCCCTAGAGCTTTTTCTATTAATTAAAATATTCTGGCATTTGATCAGCTTGTTGTTTTCTGACTGATGGTAGCAGACTGCAGACTCCTTGCTTTCAGCAGCTGAGTTTGAGCACTCCTCTGTGTGGCTCGTCTTCTGTAGTGCTTATGGTAAAAACAAGGTAGTTTTTACTTTGCCTGTGGGGTTTGTGAAATGACTTTTAGTGCTAACAGAATGTACACTTTATTTGGATTGTTCTGAGAGTTGCACCAGAGTTCGACTTGCAAGATTCAGAAATAAAGCAGAAGCCTCTGTCATACCTCACCAAAATGTTCTTTGCTAAAGTAATTCCAAGTCCTGGATCCGTTTGGTCTGAAATATAAAATATATCTGAATGAAACTGTTAATAGGATGAAATGCAGAGCCAAGGTCTGTCCTGGACCTTTTAGTAATAATAGACATGTCTTATTTTTGAGCAAACTGCAACTTGGATCTTTACATAGTTGCCATTTTCTCTTTTCATTTTTGAATCTTGGCAACCTTCTGGACAAAAACTTGATGCTACCTGCAGATTCTCGTTTTTTGCCTAAAGGGGACTTGTGCCAAATTAGGAGAGCATTTTCCTGACGCTACTGAAGAGCATATCTGTCTAGATCCCAAAGTGGCCCAGTCCTGTTCTTCAGTTCTCTTTGGACTGAGCCTCAAGCAACTAGTTTTTTTCCATAGGTAAGATGCTGGTGAATGTCAAGGCCAGTAGACAAACAGGAGGAAGTAGATATGCTCATACTTTCACTGTTGAAAGACAAACAAAATGAATTTAATGGACTTGACTGCATAATGTTGACTGTGTACTCACCTGCTTTTTGTTTCACTGCTGGCTAAACCTTGGTTTCTTGTTGAGGGAAAAATCTATGGTCTCTTAATTCACTTCCCTTTCACTTGGAATCGACCCTGATCAGGGAAGAAGGAGGATGGCTGAGTGGCCCCGGTGGATGCTGTTTACTATGTCGTACCAGAACTTGGTGTCACTAGTAGCTTGATTTCGGAAGCTTATACCCTGATATTTTTACCCCCATAGGTGTAATACAGAGCAGCCTCTCTTCTCAGAAAAACTGCTGTTCATGTGGAATATAGAATATTTATGTTTATTCTGTTACGAAATATACTGAGATACCTTAATTTGAAAGTCATCTGTAGAGCTGCATTTTTTTTTTTAAAGTTGTTGAAGGCTGTGTATTTTGGTGGCTTCTGTACTGTTAAAGATGGCTTTGTAGTGCCAGGACTGATATTCATTCTCTTTCCAATTATTCAGAGATTAAGGACAGAAAGGGATTCTTTGAAAGAAACTATCGAAGAGCTTAGATGTGTACAAGCTCAGGAGGGTCAACTCACCACTACAGGTAAAGGATAAATAAGGAGATTAAATGCATCTTTTCTACAGTTTACAGGACTTCTCCGGAGAGTATTAAAAGCACTTTTGTTTAGGACAGAATAAATTTAAACTGCTCCAAGATCAGCAGTGAAAAGCTGCTTCAGATATTCATAACTTTGTAAGCATTTGAAAACTTCAAATGTTATTTCAGTCAATCAGAAATTTTACTGTCCTCGCCAGTGTGATATTTTTGTAATGTATTTCTGATTTCTGTGTAGTTACATAATTTTCTTGAGAGATACTAAGTTTTCTCGTGTGTGTATGTTTCCTGTATTGCAGTTTATTTCTATGTATAATGATGCACAGGTTTGCAGTTCTTCAATAAGCTAATGAGCAGAAAATAACACCACAAAATTACTTCATCAGAATGGATGCAGACAGAAATAATGATTATTCTCCAAATGAAATTGTGCTTGTCTGTCTGTCTTCTTGTAGCCTGTCTTGTGTAATTTTCCATTGTCTAGCATTACTCTAAACCCGTAAACTTCTAGAACAAGTATTTACTTCAGAGCTTTTAAAGAAAGCTACTGGTCTGTTTGCTAACTTTTTTACTTTTCCTAACCCAGGATTGATGCCTCTGGGAAGACAAGAGCCTTCAGACAGTTTAGCAGCAGAAATCGTTACTCCTGAAATAAAGTAAGCTAATGTGTGCTCTGCTTTACTAACTTTTACAAGGTTACCCATAGATAATTAGTTATTTTTCAGTGTTAGAAAATTTCTTCAGTTGATGTTTGGTTTTTTATTTCCTTTTGGCTATCCGCACAACAGGAGCTGTTATGCTTAAGATAGAATTCAGTAGCCCTCTCTTGAGTTTGTATTGTACTCCAAAAAAATAAGGGAAACAAAAAAAAAAAACCTTTATCCTCATATTGTTTTTCTTCTATTTTGTAACATGGCAGCTTTTACAATCTATTAAAAAAACAGCAGAGCTGAAAATCATTGTATCTTAAGGTGTTGCAGGCAGTGTTTAGCCTTGCCAGTATGCTAGAAGTTTTTAAGACAGTCACATCTCAGAAATCTGTTAGCTCTTAAGGCAGTCTTTTATCTCTACTAGTACTGATACGGTATTTTAACACTTGGAAAGCTCCATATGAGTCGAAACATACTGCTCAGTAGTAAAATAATACCTTTCTAGAAAGCTGATAATAGAAAAGATTTTTCTTCGAGCTGTGCTGCTACACCTTACTACAAGAGCAATTCTTGTTAGTTTTGTTCAGAAATAAGAAAAGAGAAGAATAACATTTTGAGGCAGTGTTAGTGAAGTATGGAGTTACTGCATGAACCTTCCCACTTGGTTGCGTGGGAGAGGACAGGACCCTAAATACCATAAATATCCAAGCATAGCCTGTGGTTTCACTGGCACTTCATGTTTGGCTCCTGAAGATGTATTCTGGATTTTATGCAGGCATACATCTATGCAGACTGTTTGCAGCTGCTGAACTTGGCCTCCATGCCTACTTGGTAGAGGTGGACAGTAACAGTGGCTGCTGTAGGACTGGAGCTTCCTGATCTGGAGTTCTGGGCTTCTGCTGATGAAGGGGGAACACTGCACAAGGCAGCCCACCCGTAGGAGTAGCTACTACTGCTCCCTTGTTCCCTCCATGGTGACAGAGCATGAGTCTATGCTCAAGCACCTTTCTCAATCTCATAGAGAAGACCTGCAGACAGTGGGAGGGTTCACAGAATGTCAGGGGTTGGAAAGGGCCTTGAAAGATCATCTAGTCCCACCCCCCTG